GAAAAGGCTGTCTTTCATACCTTTCTGTGACTTTTTTGCCATTTGTATCCAAATAGGATCACAATTGGATTTGTACAACATATTACATTAAATAAAACATATTACATTCAATAAAATATCTTTTTTGTTTGTTGTTTGTGTGCTGTGGGAAACCAAATCAGCTCCTTTGCTATACTAAGGCTTTAACTTTTCTATCTCTAAAAATGGACAATACGTAGATTGTACTGAGAACCTGCTAATGGCAAAAGCCCACATTATAGTTACAAAGAAATTGATGCTCGCAAGCATTTAGAAACCTACTAATACCTCTTTTACAGATTCCCTTTTCCTTCTGTAAATTGTTATGCTGCATCTGTAAAACTGCATGGAAAATATAAGAAAGTACCAATCAGAGTAATTAACAGCACTGGGGAGTTAGTACCTGCCTCCCTTGGATTGTTTTGGGGTTGCTATGTCTTCTCTACAGTTAGGGCTATAGGCTAGAACTGGAAAATGAAGACACAACCAAGAAGAACGCAAGAACAACCCACTTCCGTGTTGTTGTCAAAAGTCCTACATAGATGAGTCTATGAATTCATGAAGAACCTAATTCTTATTTAAACACTTGAGTCTGTCCGTTCCCAGTCTTTGCTCCACAGACAAGCCAAGACTGGAGTGCCAGAATTCCCCACAGGGAGAACTCCTGCCAGACTGAAAATTCTGAAGGCTCTCATTTCAAACTTTTTGAGTTATGAAATTGAGGAAAGTTGCACTAGTAGATGCTTGCTGTGTTCTATTTGCCAAGAACTGGCCAGCTGCAGTCATGGGAGAGTTTTGAATTGTTCAGAAAACAATGGAACAAAATCTTCTGAAATATGCTAAAGGATAAATGTGGTAAAAGGATACTTTACCAACTACAGTCAGTGAGATATTCTATATTAAAATAATGAAAATAAACTTATTACAAGTAAAATATTTGAGGGGGGGGGGAGGAAGAAGAAAAATATACACAAGTGTGTTTATTTTATGAGTGCTTATGATATTTATGTAATTTAAATAATTCCAAATATTGTTTTCTCAAATTTTATGCAGTAATCAGTCAACATAGACTGTCAAATATGAGGCATATTTCTGAGGAAAAATACCAGTGGATTTACTAAGGAGAAAAGATCTCATTTCTCTTCCATCTAAAGCAGGGGTGTCAAACTCACCGCCCGTGAGCTGGATACCTCATTGTGCTGGCCATGCCCACCTCCAGTTTAGTAAAGGGGGGAAAGTTGTGATATGTCACATGATGATGCTAAGTCATTGTAAGTTCGACACCCCTGAACTAAAGGTTAAAATTCCTCACATTAGTGGCATGCATATGGCATGTATGCACACACCCTGTGTCTTGATATGCTGCACATGTATGTGATTGGGACAACATGTGAAACTGGCAAATATGTTGACATACAGGGTAAGTCTCCAATGAGAGATCCTGACTTAAATAGAATAGCATGGGTACACTTGGAGTAAAACTGGGCTTTTGTTATGCTTATGGCACATTGGCCCAGTTGTGCCAGTCCATACTTGCACAGCCCTTACATCAAATGCCGCATAATCAAGAGCCTCTGATTATGACATTGAACATGCAAACAAGCTAAATACACTACTAACATGGGCAGCATCCTGCCCACACGCTTTTATCTTTCTTGGTGACTTCAATTTACCTCATATTAACTGGACCCTTAACGAATGTACAACTGAACCCACACATGCAACCTTCTACAAAGCAGTAACAAATCTGGGACTAGAACAACTAGTAACCAACAACACTAGACTTAACAACTTCCTCGATCTCATCTTTTGCAATAGTTTGAATTCAATTTACGAAATACAAATTATGCAACAGTGACCACAACTTGATTGACTTTTGTCTCAACATATGCCCACACAAAAATCATCACAATGATGGAATCCCCAATTATAACTTCAAAAAAGGCAACTATGATCTTATAAACAACGATCTCTCATCCCTTGATTGGCAATTTCTATTCACTGGATGCAATACTGTAGAAAACCATTACAACGTATTTTTACTTGAAGTCAAAAGAGTCATCAAACTATATGTACCATTAACAACTCCCAAAACCAGAAAAAACAAATTACCCATAACAATAAGGAAGCTTCAATCCAAAAAGAAATCACTTTGATGGAAAAACAAATCTGGTCACGTTGCCAACTTCAAAAGCTGATACAAAAATTTATGCCACCAGATAAAAACTGAATGCACCAATTATCACATTAAACAAGAAGAAAACCTTCTACGCACCAATTCCACACGCGCTTTCTATAATTTTGTAAACAACAAACTAAAAGACTCAATGTCAATCCCACCCCTGAAAGGACCTAATGGTTAAGACTGCAACAGCGACACTATTAAAGCCAACCTCTTTAACACATTCTTTGGCTCAGTATTTGTAAACAGCAATGGATCATGCCCAGTATTTCCTAGTCGAACCACAGACAACTACAATGATGTAATACGTATCGATTTTACAGAAGACAATGTTGAAAAAGCACTACGCAATCTAAAACTATCTCTATCTATTGGACTGGATGGCATATGTGCCGACTTCTTTAAAAAGCTATCCACTGCCATAGCCGAACCTCTAAGCATAATTTTTGAAAAATCTTTCAGGACCAGCTCCTTGACAAAACTAGCCACGGTCATCCCCATCTTCAAAAAGGGAGACCCCAGCCTAATTGAAAATTACAGACCAATCTCTTTATGCTGCGTCATCTGTAAAGTCATGGAATCAATTATTAACCAATCCATCATCCTCCACTTAGAAACAAACAACCTACTCTCTAATAAACAATTTGGTTTCAGGAAAAAACTATCATGTAATCTGCAACTCTTACACTGCAAAAACATATGGACTACACAACTCAATCAGGGCAAAGCAATAGACGCAATCTACATAGACTTCTGTAAAGCCTTTGATTCAGTGGTGCATGACAAACTACTCCTAAAACTAAAATCTTATAGTATTTCTGGACAACTGCATAACTGGATAGAAGCATTCCTGTCAAACAGACAACAAATGGTCAAAATTGGGAGCGTCCTATCAAATTCTGTACCTGTCAACAGTGGTGTCCCCCAAGGCAGTGTTCTAGGACCAACTCTTTTCATACTCTACATAAATGACCTCTGTGATTATATCAAGAGCAACTGCATTCTCTTCGCTGATGATGTAAAGCTATTCAACACCACAGACAATACTTCTACCCTTCAAAAAGACCTCAACTATGTATCAGAATGGTCAAACAAATGGCAACCTCTAATCTCAACAAATAAATGCTCTGTCCTACATATTGGCAAAAAAAATAGAAAATAAAATACAGGCTGAATAGTCAAGACCTTGTTGATGATCCAAACTCTGTCAAGATCTTGGAGTACTCATCTCTAATGATCTAAGTGCTAGAGCCCACTGTAACTACATAGCCCAAAAGGCATTAAGAGTTGTTAACCTAATCTTATGTAGCTTTTTCTCTGCTAATGTTACACTAATAACTAGTGTATACAAAACATTTGCTAAACCAATACTCGAATACAGCTCATCAGTCTGGAACCCACATTACGTATCTGATATTAACACAGTTGAGAAAGTCCAGAAATATTTCACAAGAAGAGTTCCCCACTCCTCTACTCGTTGCAGAATACCTTATGCCACCAGACTCGAAATTCTGGACCTAGAAAATCAAGAACTACGCCGCCTTCAGTCCGATCTAAGTATAGTACATAAAATCATACATTGCAACGCCCTACCTGTCAATGAATATTTCAGCTTCAACCATAACAACACAAGAGCAAGCAATAGATACAAACTCGAGGTTAATTGCACCAAACTTGTTTGCAGGAAATACGACTTCAGCAACAGAGTGGTCAGTGTCTGGAATACTCTACCTAACTCTGTGGTTTCTTCCCCAAACCCCAAAAACTTTAACCTTAGACTGTCTACTTCACCCCTTTCCTAAGAGGGGTGCCTGCATAAGTGCACCAGCATGCCTACCATCCTTGTCCTATTGTTTCTTTTATTTTTTATTTTTCTTCTATGTATCCATGTATTCATGACTATGTTTTTACTTATACTTATTATCTTGTAAGCAATTGGCATAAATAAATAAGTGTGTGTGTGTGTGTGTGTGTGTGTGTGTGGTGGCACAAGCAGGGCCAAGAAATAATTTGAGAACAGATTGGAGAGACAGAGTTACAAAACAAGTTAAGCCATAGGAAAAATATATCCCAACCATTAAGAGAAATACAGAAATTTTGCTCACACCTGGAAAACATTTCTACTCAGTTACATGCTCCAATTATAGATGGGCCTTTTCCAGGGCTTGTTTTAAATTTCTCCTTGTGCATCTTGGAAGGCAGCTTTAAAACATCCCAGGATTGTAAAGTCACTATTCATGTAGATCAAGTATCATTGAACCCATAGAATTTTTTTTCTAAATGGGCCTTTTTGTACAATTTTTTAAAAATCTGAATGTAAATTACCCTACAGTTGATAAAATCTAAAGTTGCCTAAGCTGCATCAAAATGTTGCAACTTTGCAACATGGATATGCTGTAGGTAGTTTATAATCACAGGTCAGACTGGCTATCTGCAGAGTTAACCTTGTTTATGTATGGAAATAGTTGAGCCTTTTAATATTAGTTTATTAATATTTCTTGCATTGGATCTGATGTTGGATTTCTAGTCAATGCCTTCAGTAAAGTTTTGATTTGATCTGACATGGGCACAAACTTTTCTATCTTAGGAAGCAAAGTATTTAGTACCTATGTAGTACCTATGTAGTAAATAGTAAAACATTGTGAAAGTCCCCATCAATTAAAGCCATGCTAGGCAATAGAAGCTAATATTTACAATATCATCTGGTAAAAATGATGGCATATACCAAATTGGGATTTGGTATGTAAAGGAATAAATGTTAATAAGCATGAATTAATGGGTTATTGGGGTTTTTTTTTAGAAAAATAAGTGCATTAACTACCTGTGAAAATAAAAAAAAATGGACTCAGGTATAATAGATCTGAATGAAGATGGCCTGATCTTATGCAGTGGACCTGATCAATGCATGCAGGGAAATGAAGGTTTAATTATGACTGAAAGACTGAGTTGCATCTCAGAAAGTATGAAATGAATCTTAGCAGCATATAGTAATATAGGGATGGGCCTGTGTGCCTGCTCTTTGGGATGCAATGTATTACTTGATAGAGTCTGAACAATACAATTAACCTAGAAGTTAAATAATGAGGCAGTGTTAATTTCCATTGCAATAAGGATAGGATCAGTAAGAGTTCAATTAGCATTACATTTAATTTGCATGAAGTAACTCTTATGTACTAGCATGAGGGGTCACAATAAGTAAATGTTAACCAAGATTGTTATGTCTTTCAAGATTGAAGCCATTCCACACAAAAAATGTATCTTCAAAAGAAGTTTTAAATTTGGAGCAGTCAGAAAAAAAGTGAAACAATCTGGAAGAAAAGTACAACACTGTGGGAAGGGATACAAGCATTAGAAAGTATATTAATCTCCTAACAGAATGAATGAAAGGTTGACATAAGAAAAGAGGATGTGCAAGATAGCTTGAATTGGGTGAAAAGAATAAAATACTGATATAAAGCAGTGGTTCTCAACCTTTTCTTCATCACAGAGCCCCTTTAAATACTTTTTGTGGCCACGGAACATGATCATGGTCCCCCAAAACTTAAATCAAGATTTAAATCATAACATTTCTTCAAGCTTTCATGGACCCATTGTGACATCACAGCCTCCAGGGGTCCATGAGCCACAGGTTGAGAACAACTGTTACAGAATGCCAGAAAAATGGGTGGAATTATGAAAACTTGAAATAGAAGACTTCATCCACTTAAAATGTGGATGACAAATACATATATACATTGAGGATGAAACATACTAGTACATAATACAGAGATGTGGTCAAAGAGCATGGAAAAATTAAAATAGGTAAAAATGCATAATAATGGAAATCAAATATTGTTGGGAAAGTTGGGTGAAGAGGGCTAAAGAAGGAACCTCCAGCAAAGCGAATAGAATCAAAAATAAGAGTGATAAATTATTTGGGAGGGAAAAATGAGGCAATGGTAGAAGTTTTAGAGTTTGTATGGGAATTCTAGTGATGTATTGAAGAAGCAAACTCTGGAAAGATTAGTGCCCAAGAAAAATAGCTAAAGAAGAAAACATAAATGTTGTAAAACCTAAGAAAAACTATAAGGTTTCAGATGTAGCTAATGTATCTGGATCAATTCAAATATGGATGTGGTCTGCTTATGGAGTGATTGTGTAACCTGTTAAATATGCATGGAGACTGCATCTGTGCGTCATGACTGAAAGAAAGCCATTGTTCTCTATAGAACTAGAGGAACACAACAATTATATATTAGTTTGCTAAACATACCTGGGAGCTTGTTTGGCAGAACATTATTCAAAAGGGTACAAAGTGTGAGAACGAGCACAATTTCAGAAATGCAATGTTTGTTATGCAGAGGGTGTACAAACCAAGTTTTGTTCTGCAGGAGGTAATGTATGAATGTGAGACTGTGTATATCTATAGTTGAAGTTTCATTGTTGAATGCAATGAGCAATATGTAAATAAATCATGTGTGATAATAAATGGAATGCCTTAAATATGGGTCAATATTGAGCAGGATATAAGAATATTTTTTCCTTTGCATATTTAATGTATTTATAAAGAAATGTATAAAGGGTGCTTTTGATTATGTTTGTGGTGCATTGTTTACATACATAGCACAGCTAGACAAGAAAATAAAAAAATAATAACATGCATACAGTGGCATAATAATGCAAACTTCATGTTTTTGCACCAACACTGGACTGAATTAGCTAAATTCACTGGATTTGTGTCATGACATAGTGACGTGCTGTTTGTCATTTGCCTCCTTGAGGAGGCTTACGGTTGTTTTAAAAAGTACATGTATATGCATATGATGCTGTGGACTTGGATTATTTCCAGAAAATGTTAGATAGATTGTATGTTGCAACAAGGATCATGGCTCTGAAAATATCAAAGGTTATTTGACAAGGAAACTAAAGTGAGCAATTGCAAGCTATAACCAAATGGGGGGAAAAATAGATAAATGTGTGCATCTTGTAGAATATTTACTAAAAGAGGGACCATGTATGAAGAAATTTTAAGACATACAAGTGCAAAATAACAAATAGCGTGTATATATTTTGAGGATGAATGTTGAAAGAAGTGAAAATTGGTATGGATAGAATTGTGGTTTTGCCCGTTCTGTTTCATGGAAGTGAGAGTTGGGTATATCAGGAGGACCAAAAAAGTAAGATAAATACAGTTGGAATGACTTACTTTTTTAGTTTGCATGTGATAAATTAAAAAATATTAAATTTTTGCAGCCTAACTTGACATGGGGCATCTCTAGGCAGCTGAAATGAATGAGTGGATTTAATACAAAAGCAAGTGACCAGAGGTGGAATACAAATATTTTTACAACTGATTCTGTGGGTGTGGCTAGGTGGGCATGGCTTTTTTTGCAGACCCTCCCCCACCCCCCTGCACCCCACCTTTTGGGCTCCTAAGCTTCAGGGAAGCCTCCTGGGGAGGGCATTTTTGCTCTCAGGAAGTTTCCCTGAGGCCCAGGAAGGCAAAAAACGGAGCATAAGGGGGCCACGCAGCACCTCCCCATACTCCGCCTTTTGGCCTCCTGAGCTTCGGGAAGCCTCCTGGGGAAGGCTTTTTTTGCGGCTTCCCTGAGGCCCAGGAGGCCAAAAAATGGAGCACGGGGGGGTGCAGCCCATACACACCCCATGCGCCCTTTTGCCTCCTGGGTGAAGCAGTAAGACAGCGAAGGGGATCCTGGCTCAGCTGATCATCAGAACATCTGATCATTGGACTTCCGGTTTGAAGGGCTTCGGCAACAGACAGAAATCCGCGATCGTGTGCGGTTTCTGTCTGAGCTCGCCGCTGGAGCACCCCAAGCCGGCTGGTTTCGGGGCTAAGCCACCCCGTAGAGGTGGTGAAGTGGGGGGAGACCGCCAGCAGGGTTGAGGAGAGCTGCATCTCTCCTCCACAGCTGGCCATTACTCCCTTTCCCGAAGGCAGTTGCAGCGGTAGTCAGAAATGGCCACCACAAAGGAGAACTCGACCGGAAAAGAATGTGCAAGAGGAAGATAAGAAGTGAAAGTTTTGGCTGACCGGGTTAAATTGTAAAAGCAACAACTAAGAATTTAAACTTACAAAAAATAACATTGCTCCCAAAGAAGAGTCGGAAGCAGCGAAGGAAAATGAAAAGGGAAAGGTTTGGCTTTTTTTTCCTTCTCTCTCCTTCCCTATACTGACAACTAAGAGACTTAAATAAGAAATCGGAAAAATCCGCTTTGACATCAATAGGCAATTAAGCTGAAAATAAAACAAAATGCCAAAGGGATAATAAAGATTTCTGGACATTAAAATTTTTCTTTTTCATAAGCAGGAAGGGAGAGAAAAAGAATAAGGGCAGGATCTGGAAGAGGGAGGAGACTGCCTGGAATTAAAAAGAACCTACAGTAAAACTTCAACAAGACTTCTAAAAGATACATTTTAACTGAAACTTTGCAACTAAATAGTAACCTCAGGAAGAAAAAGTGAAAAAAAGAGCAAAAAAGAAACAGCTTGCGTGTATTTGGATTATTTGGTGATCTCTGGATTCTTGGTTATTATATTTGAATGACTAAAATCAATCGGGTGGTTGTTTAAAAATTTATACAATGGCACCACTTCTGGATGAATTTAAAATGGAACTTAAAAAGTACAAAGAAGATGCACAAGAAGGGAAGGGTTCTTTTGGCTTCGTTTTTCAATTCTTAGAAATGGAGATTTGGAACTATGAGAAACAACAAGAAACGACTGCAAAACAAGAAGACTGGGACAAAGAAGAAGCCATCTTTAATGAACAAGCAATTTTATGTGGGGAAGAAAAAGGAAAGGGGGGAAAGAGAAGTATAATACTGGAAAGCAACAGAAAAGGGGAATACAGAAGAGAGAAATAGAGGTAGAGAGACAAGGGGGTAAAAGGGGGAGAGAGAAGAAGAGAGGGAAGAAGGAAAGGAAAAGACGTTACAAGGGACCGGAGCAAGATATAGAGAAACGGGACCTATTTAGAGATAATGGGTGAAAATCTAACTGAAAAAGGGATTCTGTAAAGGTACATAAGATTGTATTGTTATATTAGTAATAGAAATAACTTTAGAAAATTGGAAACAACGTATGATTAAAATGAGGGATAAAATAGTTAGTGTAATTTAGTGAAATGTTTGTGAATAAAATAAGTGAAATAAAATAAATGAGAAAATTGAATTAGGAAGGAACGGTAACATTTTAATTAGTTAATGTTTTATAAAATATAAGTGAAGGGGGGAATTAACTATGGAAAGCTTATAATTGTTCCCATAGAAGTATGATATTTAATTGAAAAGTAATGTTAAAGATGTTAAGACTTCAATGAATATTAATATTAATGATAGAATTGAATTGGAATGGAATGTTGTTTTAATTATATACATTTATATTTTTTTTTCTTTTTTTAAGAATACAGTGTGTATTTTAAGAATGTACCAAGCAGAATCCGAATGGAAGTTATGTATTATATTGAATGTTACAACTTTAGGGAAAAGATATAAAGGCGTCATACTCCAGTCTGTAACTACAGGAGAAATTTTGTTTAATGAGAAAAGATAATAGATAATTGAAACAGGACAGACAAAAAATATAAATACAATGATTTGAATTGAGATGAGATAATTAAAATAAAATTGAGAAAATTAAAAGAGGGGAGAAGCTATGCAGAAAATGTAAAATAGTAATAAGATGTGGAATAGAATATAAAAATGAGCATGAACCTGAATTTGTGTCTGTACGAAGAAATGTAACCCGGGATTACGCTACTTTCAAAAAAGATGTTTTATTTGTTTTTTTTTTCTCTTTGTGAAAACACAAATAAAATTTACCAAAAAAAAAAAAAGAACATCTGATCATTGGGAGGAAAAAAGAAATACCTTAAGGAGTGACTGGGCGGGGGAGAATGCAATCATTGATATCAGGCATGCACGATAAGGACTGATTGGAAGGGGAGGAGGGGAGGGGAGGGGCCAGCCAGGGGCATGAATTGCCAGTTCTCAGAACTGCAGAATCATAACAACCAGTTCTATAGAACCAGTCCAAACCAGTAGAATACCACCCCTGCAAATGACCAATATAAAAAGTGCATTGGTGTGGTTTTGTCATATAAAGAGAATGGATGAGTGATTTGCAAAACAGATGAAGTCCAGGATCTAATGAGAATCTCCAATGGGTCCAGGATAAGTGAGGATCTAATGAGAATCCCCAAAGAGAAGGGTGAGACATTTCAGAACCAAAAATAATAATATATGGAGAAACGTATGGATGTGATAGAAGCAACTTATGGAGATGTTACGGGAATGGTATTAGTAGAATTATTAGACTGAGTTATACAGTACTGTATTTTCTTCTCCTTATCTCATGGCATTAACTGGACAGGGGAAACCCTTATTTATTCTTTCCCTGCTGCACTTTGCACCGTGTTGCTGATACAAAAAAGGAAGAGTGTAGTGGCTGTATGTGTTTGTGTGAATTTTACAGCTGAGTCATAAAGACTTGGATTTTAAAAAGTATGTGTATGAACTATGGTTAACAAAGCCTTAATCTGAAGTACATTAGAGAACAGTTTTGCTATAATTTTAATACAATCTTCAGATTTGGGAGCTGAACTGTTACAGTATGATAACAATACCAACTTCTTCACTGATAATAAACAAAACTGACTCCTAAAAGGAAATCTCATTATAGGATTCCTCTAATGAATAAAATGCTTTGTTTCTGGGTAAAACATATGCTTTGGATATATAGTTAGAGGAAAAAGAAATGCCCCAAGGAAACATGTGCTGCTGAAGAAAAGAGCTTATTATTATAATATCTGTGAGAGGTCAAAGTCTGTGGGCCTCTGGCTTATAGTATTATGGCAGATTACAAGAACATTCTGATGTATTAGTCAGAATGTTTCCAGACATCAAGAGTAGGAAGCTGGGCACTAACAAATTAGCCTTGCTTTGACTTTTCCCCATTTAGGTCTTGTGATAGGTCAGCTGTTGATGGCATCCTCCTGCCCATTCACAAGGTCACATGGCAGAACCTCTTTGAAAGAGCAGCTGAGGGCTTTGAAATGAAGCAACATCTTTCTCAGCTGAAGAGTCTCTTTTGTGACAGAGCACGCTTTTACTAGACCAAAATCACTGACCCTAAGGAAAAAGGAAGGAGCAAAATAATCATGCCGGATGACTTTATTTTGGAAACGAAATATTCCGGCAAGAGAAAGATGACAATGAAACACAATAAAATCAGACGTGACAGAGGAGAGAGAAAAAAAATAGGATATCCCCCATTGTATAATGAACAGCATGTGCTAGATCAGTTGCTTGGCATTGAAAGCAACTGTGAAGCTTGGTTTACACGTCACATTAAACCATAATATGTTTGATTTTAGTTTAGGTTAGAAGTACTCATCCAGTGAGATCTGTAAACCGTGCTTAGACATATTTATGGCTTAATCTGATAAACTGTGATTAAGCAAATCATGGGACTAACATAATGTCTGAAGCCACATAATTAACTCAAAATGCTTGAATAGTTGTCGCTGCTGCTTTTCCTCTTCCAAAGACATATTCTTAAAATAGTTGTACTGTATATTGGGCTATCAGAACAACCCATAGATGGCAGCAGAGAGTGAGTTTACTGTATCCCTTTGCTGGCATTGTTATTTTTTTGGTAACCCAATTCTGGTAATGTCACTATTCTCCTGCTATTTTAGATGTAAATTCATATTGGGTATAGGTTATAAACTGCTGCAGGAAAAGCAACATACTGAACATTTCTTGACTTGATGCCTCCAATGCTGGCTTTTCCATTCCCAGACAGGAGACATATGACTATGCCGATTGGGGAAGATGCGATTTGTACTTTATGTTGGCACCGTGCCAGGAAAATGTCATTTAAGGTGACATAATTTGTAGAAATTAATGCATAAAATCCTATTAGCTGGCAAGTAAAGTCCTAGAATAATCTTTGAATCTATCCTATTTCTATAGGATATTTGTCTTCAAGATGTATTTTCTTAAAAACTGCATGCAACTTTCTTTTAAATATTTCTACTTTTACATTCTTAGATACTGCATATTTCAGATTTGTTTTTCTTAACATTTATAATGGGACATTTGTCATGAAATAGGATTGTACAGATATGATCATGATTGTACAGATTTGTCATGGGTGGTGGCAAATAGATTAAATGTTTCAATGCATTGACCAGATCAAATGCAACTCACCCCCCCTCCAAACAAATTGAAACAGAACTTGCAATGCCCAAATCATCTCCATGTTCCATGTGAAAAATAACTTGCCCTCCTCATCTTGCTCCTTTCCAGGAACAGAGCTGAGATCTGGAATGTGTGGGAGAAGAGAAAAGCACTTTCTCTTTCAGATATTCTCTACAGATTTGAAAGAGCTCAGATAGATCAAATAAATGAAAGAAATGGTTCCTCTGAGTACCTGCAGACAGTCCTCAACTTAGGATTGGTCGACTACTCAAAATTGCAACGAAACCCTCTAAAAAGCTACGTATGACCTGGTTTCAAGGTTATGTCCGCGGCAGCACCCCTGTATTCATTTGCCCTTACGACTGACTGCAGGGATGCTACAGCACCACCAACCCCACTTATCTCTCCCCCCCCCAATCTATCCCACCAGCTCCACACAAATCTTGGGCCTGCTTTCCACCCCACGAGATCCTGCAGGCCCCACACCCTCCTCCCCCAACCCCCATTGTGCACTTACCTTTGAAAGATCTCTGAAGAGTTTTGGAGATGGCATTAGGGAAGACTGCCTCTCTGTCCCTTGGCATCCCTGGGCCACGTGGCTGCATCTCAGAAACAGGCACCATTTTCAGAGGACTACCCGTAACTTACAACTTTGCCACTACAACAGACTCTTTGTGAGTTCTTCTGGATCCACTAATTCTCTCATATCCTTATTCTTTAAATTTTTACAAAACTGCTCACTGTAACATGGTATGAGTTTCTGGCAAGGAAATGGATGATTCTTGGAACAGGAAAACTGTAACTATAAACTATAGTTTATATAAATTTTATAAAACAGTATGTGTTCTGTGACTTAAGGTGACTGTGTTTATTTAGATTCTTCTGCAGATGAAGAAAAAGAAGCATTCAAGTAAATAAGAAGAGTAACTCTGGGCAGACTGAAAATCATCCATTTGCACAAGAAGAGTCAAGTTCAAGTTCAAGGTAATTCAGTCAGCAGAGGACTTGGAGCCATAGAATGGAACAGATGTGAACCTCTCTGTGTCAGCCATGTTTTGTTTGTCACTACCACCTCCCCCAAACTCCATGTGTGAGTATTAAGCGTGCAGCGGGGAAACTATGCATCGGGGAACAGCCATATACAATCAACCCTTTGAGAACTAACTATCCTGATGGGATAAAACTAGGGAGAATAGTGAACCCCTTATCCTTTCCAGACAAAATATGCCTGACAATGGTTGCTTTGTAAAGATAGTCTTTTCTTTTGAAGGTATAAATATAATTTTGTGAGGATGAAATCTATAGGTAAGATTCCACCTTCTCTGATTCAAATCCTTTCCAAGTTGGGGATGCAGCTTAGTTTGTTAACCCAGTTTTTTGCCCAGAGCTATTTCTAAATTAGCACTGTATTTACTGTGTTAATATAAACCTCTCTTTACATTTGAAAAGCTAATTAAGATCTAAGGTTCAGTTCATTGACAGCAATATTGTAGCACCTAGATCATAATAATAGCACCATTTGGTCCTATAACACTTCTTATTCCCAGTCTGTGACTTTTTATGTGTTTCCAAGAAAAGGCATTGAAAAAAAGCCATTGATATGATTCCTTAGTAGAGGAGAGCAAAAGGTTCTCTTTATATTTAATCTCTTCCATGCTTTGCATTGCATGGAATAAAGCATTTTTAAAAATAACTCTGCAGGTGTTCAAGCATAATGCTTTGAGAAACAAATAATTATTATGTACCATCATATACATTTATTCCCCTTGTGGTACTCTAGTGATTTTCCCTGAGTTTCCCATAATCTCTTTAGATTTCTATTATGAAGTTACATGATTATAGAGCAGGGATGTCCAACCTTGGCTGGTTGGGCAATTCTAGAAGTCCACAGGTCTTAAAGTTGCCAAGGTTGGATACACCCACTATAAAAGCTGACCCTGTCATCGGCAAGCTAGAAGACAAGAACTTCTTGGGGCTCCACTAGATTCAGGAAGGTTCTTGATATGCCCAAGGCCTCCTTAGATCTGAGTTGTAAAACCTATAAAAGGTGTAACTATTCTGCCCAAACAAGAGAGCTAGAAGCTACATTTTCTTGCTTTTTAAAGTTTAGAAGTGGTAGGGAGCATATTTCAGTCAGTGTGACATTTAGAGCAAAATGCCCCAAAGATTCCATGATAATATCCTTGCAGCTCAGCCTTCACATGTGTCCAGTGCAAAGGGAGATTGATTGTGAAGACTTGCTCTAAACTTACAGGGGTAGTCAATGCAAAGTGTGTGTGTGTGAGAGAGAGAGAGAGAGACAGAAAGAGAGACAGAGGGAGGGAGACAAGAGGGGAAGGGGGAGGTAAGGAGAGTGGAGGGAGGTAGGGAGAGAGAAAACCCAGTAAGGCTCAAGAAAAATGATATATTTTCTGTCTGTCTCCTTGAATAGCAGAGCCTCATTCAGTGGCATGATGAGTGAGAATAATATTGGAAACTAGCCATAAACTTTGGAAAGATGGGATGTGTTGACGTTTTCTGCAGTCCAGAATTGAAAACAGTATTGTCAGGCAAAGACATTGCTTTTGCATTATTTCTGAAGTAAGCACTAACAGAAACCGAGGCAGAATATATCTGCTTCCAATTTTAAAATGTCTATATGCATAGTTAACTGTTCAATAAAGAAGTCTATTTAAAATGTTTGCAGTTACACACATCTATGATTACTGGTGAATCAGAGTCACACTGAATTACCCAATGTGAAAGCACTGGAATAAAAAGCGGCAATAAGGCCTTTTTATCTCTTATTAGTTCATATACACTTTAGTTGGAGTCATGAATGGTGCAGTCCCTTCTTATCATCTGCCCTTAAGTCTCATCCAAAGCTCAATTTTTGCAAGAGGAAAATCATAATCTATTTGCAAATCAAATTTTATTTGCCGAGCTTAAAGAAAGAGACTTCAAAAGTTCACGAATATATTTGCACCAAAATATGTATTTTTGTGAAACAGAATTTCTTTCCAAATTATTTTAATATTTTAAAAAGACCATTGTCGGGTGGGTAGTCCTGGAGCTCAGAAGGACGGAAATGCAGGGAGCATAATCTCCTGAAAGTTTTTAGGACAGAACAGTTTTCTGGAACTGCTTAGGTAAGACTAATTTTAAGCTAATGCTTGCATTTCCTCTTCCCATTTTTTACATTTTGTTACATATGAATAAAGATAATTTCCTTCTGTGTAAAAACATCTTTTCCAGTCACTTAGATATGAAAAGTTCCTCAATTACTCAGCAGTTTCCTATGTGAGAGAATAGAAAGATTGTAACTACTTGTCTGTGTCAGTTGATCCTAAGATATATAAAGCTGCAACAGTCATATGCTGGATCACTATTATTTAGGCCTGTGAAGTATTTTAGATGCAAGACAAAATGGAATATTGGAGCGTGCAGGGAAACACACACTGGATCTCTCCACAATTGCTGCATTTTTTTCTTGGGGTTGCACAGCACTCTCCTACAATTGCTCAGGAAAAGACAGGTGCATGGCCCTATTAGTATTATGTATTTAAAGAATTAATTCCTGACATTAAATGTAGATAATTATTAAAGATTATTCAAACCATCTAATCAATAGCAGTAAATTAAGGAAACAGCTTACTAGTGGGTCAATGCATCACATTTTCAGTATGTATTCATTCTGCAATTGAGCAATGCAACTGTTATTTCTAGGATAACATCAGCAATTTGGTCACAATAGACCACCAAAGACTTTATTCAAAAATGTAGAGACAAATGTTAACTACCACTAAATAAAGAATGTCCATCAATCACCAGCAAAAGATTGTACAAATTAATGGAGGTCATTAGGAGGACCAGAGGCAAAGAATGAATTTTGTGCTTTCATGCAGAAAAAGGAGAATTTCGTCCTTTTTTAATCGATCTTCATAACAGAGACTACAATGCATACATACCTTACAAGGTATAAGGGCTTAAAAAGAAAGAAGAGTGGTAGGAAACAGAATAATCAAATTAAATTTAGATAATACTGCTTCCTTGCCTCTGCAAAAACTTCTCTGTATTTTGCACATTAAGAGGGTTAAGAGTTAAGAGGATAAGCAGATTTGACATCAGTGAAAGAATACCCAGCTTGTAATAATATAGAGGAGGCTTAAATATCATGAATTAGCTAACTTGAGCTCCACAATTGAGAAAGGAATGTTGGTCAAGTAAAGATAGAATGAGAAAGTTTGTTATATCTCTACGAATTTGTAAAGCGTCAGCAAAATACAAGTTTATCCATGTTCAGCATCCATATCCAAACAATAAAAAGTTGTACAAAATCCAAGACAAAACAATGAGGAAGCTGTCTGCCGTTTCCTGTCCCATTATTTATCTCTCATGTTCTACACTAGCTTGCAGTTACTTTCCAAAGCAATGCTTTTCAAACTTGGCAACCTTCAGATGTGAGGATTTCAAGTCCCAGAAAGTTGGCTGGGGAATTCTGGGAATTGAAATCCTCACATCTTAAAATTGCCAAGGTTTAGAAACACTGATCTAAAAAGTCCAAAAGATCTTGGCTTTCACCTGATCTCTGATCTTGTTCAGATGCCAAAGATTTTTCTTCTGAGCAGAAAAGGTACCAAGAAAATATCAATAATTTTCAAATCCTGCCCTAGGCTTGAGGAAGCTATCAGTAAAGTATCTTCTGATAACACAATACAATTCCTAAAGAAACCAATTCCCAAAAGAACACTCCAGCAAACATTGGTGGACGTAACTGTCTACATTTCTCACAAGGCCCTAAAATTCTGCTCTACACCTGTAGCATAGCCTTTGATTGGGATTGACAGGACTCGAATTAAATGAATGGCTATAAATCAAGGACTACCTGTATTTGCCACAAATTCCATAATATTCAAGAAATCACATTATAGTTTAGCTATGATACATGAACCCACTCTGAATCCAACAACAACAACATATATTCAGCATTTAAAAATGAAGATACAATAATATGGGAAAATAAATGCAGATACTATAAGGCACTGACGAAGTGAATTGCTCAGTGATCCCAAAAGAAGCAGTCAAACTTACCTGAGTTAAACCTGGTTATCCAGAGGGATCCATGGCAACAAAGAAAGTTAGATACTGAGAGTCAACTATTTCATTTCAAAGAAGTATCTTTAAGCAGTTGATAAAATTGTCACATTTACGGGCAATGTTCTCCTAAACATTTCTCTAAAAACATAATACTCCATGTGAAGAGCATAACTGGTACAAAATAGAAATGGTACTTCATATCTTTCCTCTTTTTATAAGGAATGGGATTGGAAAAGGGAAATAGGTCAGAGCACTTGATTAAAGAGACAATAAGAGGCAGACATACCATTAAGTCTCTCTTATGAAGCCATATGGTTATACATTAGGCATCAAACATGAAGGACAAATTGCTCTCACATACAATGTGTCAATTCATTAAAAACAATATTTAAAGCATAATGTATTTTTTTAAAAGAAAGACCCATCCTTTTACCCTATCCATTTCTTTCATTATTCAGAGGCTATTAGAACCCTAGATACTAAGAAAAGATGCCAGTTATAAACCTTATTGAACAAGAATGGTACCATTATTTCCCTTTATCCCTCAGATAAAATAGTTCAATAAAAATCAGAATCTTTTAAAAATTAAGAGAATGTTGAAATCAAATTAACTAGGTTCAATTTTTCCTTTGTTTCTTCCCAAAATTATTAGCACATTATTCTTAATAAATGGACAAGGATAAACTAGGGTTGTGCCCATTCGGCAACAGTTTAGGGCAGTTTATATTAAAACTTAGATTCAATGCTTTAATGTAAACATTAAACATTTAATTTTAAAAACTCAGTAACAGTCAAACTATTCTTTGAAGGCTTCTTAAAAGTCTACCAACGTTATTCTATTTACGAACTTTTGAGTTATGAATTTTTATCACCAATAAGAACAAATCTGCCTACAATTGCCGTGGTGGGATTCAATTTTTTTTTACTACCAGTTCTGTGGGCATGGCTTGGTGGGCGTGGCAGGGGAAGGATACTGTAAAATCTCCAAACAGAGGTGGTATTTGCCAGTTCTTCGAACTACTCAAAATTTAGGCTACTGGTTCTCCAGAACTGGTCAGAATCTGCTTGAATACCACCTCTGCTGCAATGCCAACGCAGAAGATTCCGGAACTCAGGAGAAGGTGCACTAACCCTTTTGTTTGGACTTATGAACAAAATGGACTTACGAACAGCATCTCAGAACATAACCTGTTCATAAGAGAAGAAACGTCTGTATTCCCTGAAAATGGTTAGGAGTGCATTCCACAAGAATGAAGCAGTGTAAAAACAATTTAATCAGGAAGAGTATTTTCAGAGTAATTGGTATTAGTTTGGCTATGCTATGACTTTAGTTTTGTAATTCTGGACACCCTATTTTCTCCCATTTTCTTGCAGACTACAGACTTTTGGTGAGCACTAATGAGCACGAGAACAATGTCCAAAGCCACATATTATGGTTAACGCAGTGGCTTGACTTAGCCCAGTGTGAAATGTGAGGGCCATTTGTTAGGTGTGTTATGCAAACTACTCCACTAGTTGTTAGATAAGCACTAGAATACTTTTCAATTTAGATGTGTCCAGAAAGACTGTTTCTAGATTTTTATCAAAAAGATTTGATAAAGTCAGTCCAACTATAAAGGGGGCTGATGCAGAGCTGCACAGAATGGAATCACACAAGTTACGCCACTGGTCTAATGTGAGGGCAGAGAGAAATTAATATGATTTTCACCCTGTGGTTCTCCATGCTCCAAAAAACATTGTTTTAATTGTCTCCAGAATTGTGTGTGAGGAGTGTTACTGGGAAAGAGATAAGAGGATTTTTTTAAAAAAAAATCACTGTTGCCTTTTTCTAGAAGGAAAGTTGCAGTGGATGTTGATTTTCTCCACTGCTGAAAAGAACATTTCCCAGCAGATATATTTGTATAAGTTCATTTTGTGTGCAAAATAACCATTTAGCAAGTACACCAGAATATTATCTAAGCCAATGACACTATTTTATCATGTGCATCTCAAAAGTTTAAATGTATTACAGCACAGGTGTCAAGCTCGCAGCATCGTGTTGCCATCATGTGATGTTTTGTGACTTTTTACCCTTCACGGAGCTCGGGGGGGGGCATGGCCTGGGCATGACGGATCTGGCCCGCAAGCCGCCAGTTTGACACCCCGGTATTACAGAGAAGAGGAATAGTCTCCTTGTATCAATGGTACAATGGCAAGCATGCTTTACTACCTTGAAATTTTTATGCATGCACAATACCAGAAAATTTACAACAGCACAACTGGTATATATCAAATGCATTCCTGTGTCACAATTAGACTGAACTTAATTGTTTAATATATTAACTATTTGCACAGAAATATGTGGAGAGATTAGCATGTTTTATGGCTAATGGAATTAATATCCATTTGAGAAAAATGAATAGAACCAGGTTTTGGATGACCCAGAACATCAGTCTTTCTTAACCTTTCATCCTGTAGACATGCTAGACTACAACTCACATAATCCCCAGCAAGAATACTCATCTTGGCTGATGGTGCTGTACACATCAGAACAAGAAATCCATCTTTTTTCTGTATCTAATGATATTCTGCATATAATGTATATGATGTTTTTCTGTATATTATGAGACACTTTGACACTGTTCATACAGAAAATGAAATGTTGCATTATATAGGTTGAAGCTCTAATACCCAATATTGGGACAAAATCTTTTTGTCACAGATAAATATATACCGATGTATATTATTTTTCAACAGCCATCTTCTCAGTAAAATAAATACAGTTAATCTACAATTCAAAGTAATTGTAAATAACAAGTCTTTATTACACTTTTCTGGTTGTTTAATTGGAGAAGTTGTACATGTACATTAAGTTTAAAATTAAAACCAAAATCAAGGGAAAATCCATTAACAAGACATGTATATATCATGTACAATTTTAAGCAAAATGAAAAATACATAATTGTACCATAAAACAGCTATCTTCAAGTTTAAAAATAATTTAGGTTTCTCCTCTTTTTACATTTATACAGAAAAGCAATAGAAAGTTATTTCCGTTTGGCTCAAAAACTAAGAACATCATAAACAACTCCATCAAAACACTTTTTGTGAAAAGTGCTTAACCACATCTTAAGAGACTAGTGACTTTCACACATGTTTAGTGCAAATGTCTTTAAAAAGCCACTGCTAATAAGCAAATCTGTCGTTCTGTGTCTTTCTATGCACAAAATCGCTCACAGCTTAAATAAAAGATTGCTTTGAGCCATTGCCCATCATGTGATGCCTCAAGTCAATGTAATGCTATTAAAGGGCAGGACCTGGCTAAATCTACATGTCTTAAAATCTGAGTAGAAAAATAGCTATCTTAAAATATAAAAAGTAACATGCTAATAGGCAGGTTACTGCATCAGTGACATACAAATCTTTTTCAGGATCTATACTGCATATGCTCTTATTTCTATTATTTCATCCAACATGTAGGTCATGTTCTACGATTATTACCTGCTCCATTTTAGTAATTCTGGCCTAAATCCAGAATTCTCTTGAAGTCAGCATATTTTTATTTCAAATCAGCTTAGCCCTGCTGATCAAATATAATTAGCTTGTCACTAATACTATTATGCAGTCATAAGTGTGTGTGGATCTCATTAAAATATAGCCAGCAATTCAGCATCAATCAGAGTAATTCATTTGATTAAGAATGGCTTAACACCCCCAACTTTTTCCAAATCTGCACTGAATAAGTATCATGAGCCAATTGTGATTCAGATGGAAAAAATTAGTTTTAGGATGAAACAATGACATTTCATAATTGGATATATTCCTCAATCCCACCCCACCCCCCCATGCATTTTTCATTCATCAGAAGCTGTTTGGCACCTACTTTTCCAACAGTAATCTGCTACTTCCACCAAGCTACTTAAAAAGAGATTCTGCAACCTATTTAGAAGTGCCATGCAACAACTTTTGCCTTCTTGGGCAGAAATAACTAAACAACTACCTTTCTGAATATACTGCATAACCCATATGCAAATTATTTTTATGTTATATTCAGCAGATATAGATAGGGAAAGGAAATAGGGAAATTTTCTTTTAAACAAAACCCCTACTTGTAATCTTGTTTTTCATTAGATCTAAGGAGACAGGAACTACATTAGCTTCAGAGGTTCTTCATTTATTCCAGCACCAAGAGCAATGATTAAGAAGGCTCATTCACCCAAAATGAAAACAATTAGAAGGGATTTAGAGTTTTGAAGGATAGCTTTAATCCCTCCAAAAATGGTTCCAACAATTTTAGCCAATCCTCAAATGAGGTAATAAGGGACTGGATTCTTCACCCTGGCTTAATATGTTAGATAAACCAAGTCAATTTTGGTTTCTTGGCCAAACTATTTTTTAAAAGAATCACAGTTCAATATGATGTATGAGCCCAGCTAAATCTTGTCCAATGACACCCTTGCCTTTTCCCCAATGCCTTCATTTTTTGTTACTGCTGGCTGCAAAGCATGGCCGACAAGGCAACTTCAGTTGAGGACTATGCTACACTATTTAAGAGAACCCCATTTTAGCAGTTTCTTCTCCACCTGCAGAGAAAGAAATGTGCAGTATTTCTATGGCCTCCTAGAACCCCCAAGATTGCATTCTAAAATTATTTTTTGTTAAATCGCTAAGTTCTACTGCAAACAGACACCAAGAACCTGCAACTGTCTTCCTATTTATTCCTTAATAAAATGATAGACAAATCTATCAATATTCTTTGTTATTAAAAAAAACTATGAAATAAATAAATCACATTTTCCTATAATGTATACGTTAATTCTTTCTATTCTTTTAAACCAGTTTCCCCCACAAGCTGTTCAGCTTTTTTCTCTCTTTGTTTTAGTTTGGGTACCTTTTCCAAGGCAGTACATACAAATGCAATAAAATACTGTTTGTAAATTCTAATAAATATACTTATGTACCCTTACATACAAAGCCACGTCATAAAAAATAATTTTGGGGGTACAGAATAAGTAACAGTTTCCATTCGTTTAATCTTACTTTTAATCAGCCAATAGAGAAAAGAGCTTATTCAAGTATACCACACTTGAAATATCAAGATATGACATTTTTCCTGAAATCAAATTCTGTAATTATTATAATACTAATAATCGCTTTTGTTGCCAGCAACACAGTATATAAAATTCAAAGGTTATTTCTATGAGCCAAACAACATTTTTAGTAGTAATGTAGACTGATAAATATTAAACCATTGAATTCATCTTTTTCATTTTTCAATAATGATAACTTTTAAATAAATCAGCATTCAGGTAAGAATTAGAAAGGAATGTTTGTGTAAACTCATCATTTATGGAAGTCAATGTTATAGATCCATTATATAAAGTATAAAAACTTAGCAATCAGGAAGTAAGACAAAAGTCCAAGGATTGAAGGAGGGAATATAGTTTCTTTTTCATCTCTGGAGGTCATGTCATCCCCCTGAGAACTATTGCACAATAGAGTATACACCTATCTGAGACACAGTCTTTTATTACAGCATAATGTAAAGTTAAATTATAATTGTCTTTGGAGCAATCAAATAAACATCCCATTGCATCCCCAAACTCAGTTGGATTTATCTTGGATGTTAGCAAAGCTGGCATTTGAGTGGATTCGCTTACCTACAAAGAGAAGAAAAGTATATAATCCCACAAAGACAGTTCATAGCATATTTATACAAGAAATCTGAGGCCCCAGCAACATAATTTGTATGGAGAGGCATCTGGAACAAATCATAGTGATAGTATATGTGTTATGATATTGATTTACCAATTAAATTTGCATCATTTATATAACAGCATTGTGAGACTTCATATTTTCCCACAGTGAATATGAAAAAGTGTTAATGCAAAAAATCCCAAATTATACTTACAAATCGATCAGAAGAATGTTGAATTAAATAGTTTTAGACTTAGATAGATAATTATTCTGTCCAATCAGTGCAAAGAGATCCAAAGCTGGTGAGGAGCTATTGAGAAGACCTTTCCTCATTTTCCCATGGCAGGAGAGTGAGAAAGGGTTTTGCAAACAGATCTTAAAATTTGGACAAGTTCAAAGAGAGGAAAGTACTCTTTAATGTAATAGACCTCAAGTCATGCAAGACCTCATAGATCATTGCTATCAATTTTAAGTGTGCCAGAAATAGATCCAAAGCTGACATTAACAAGGCTATCACATGCTATGTGTTACAGTTCCTAGTTAATGATGTGGCCAGTGTTATGAACTACCTAAAGTTCTTCCAATGAGCAGTAATATCTAGAATGCTCCAAACTCCAAACAGAATACAAAGGCCTATGCCACTGTGGTCTGGTCTAATTTCCAGGAGCAAAAGTAGTCTTGGCCACCATTTAAACTTGAGAAATCACATTGAAGAGTTGAACCAGGAATACACAAAACTACAAATCTGAAAATGAGATAATTGCTGTCCATGCTCAAATGAAAACTGAATCCTTTTTTTCCAAATGACAAAGTGGACCTCTATTTTACCTGGACAACTTGTTTATTTGTTCATTTTATCAACTGTCGAATTATTCTGGGTACCAAAACAGCCAACATATACAGTCGAATTGTGTGAAACAGTTACTGCATACAGTAACTTGACCATACTACAAAGAGAGGCTTCTTCACATCATTTATTTAAATCATGGCACTCAAGTAGTTTTATAAATAAATAGTTGACTAGAATACTGAATATGATATTGCTCATCACAGATGTTGAACAATATGCTGGGTCTGTTCAGAAATAGCTAACTGTAGATAGTAAGCTGCCTATCTTTACTACCTTAAAAGAAAGATAGGGGAAAATCATCCAATTATCTAATTCATTCCATCTGAATTCCCACTGTAGTGGCCCCCTTGACTCAGAAGGGCTTGATAAAGACAGTTAAGACTTCTTTAGTCACTCAAAGAATGCAGCAGTGGGGCAGAATCAAATGATGCATTATCAACTTCCAACGCAGTTTATTCTAATCAGATTGTGAACAGAATCCCAAATTCCAAAGCACCCAAGACTGGGCATCAAGCCATTTAGGCGCAAACACCACTTTCAGTGTTGTAACCTTTTTTTTTTATTTCAATCCAAATAGAAACCATAAAGATTAGGTGATTTTACTTACCCAGAATCAGGACACGTTTTTTCTGCTTTGAGTGAAGAAAGGTACTCAAGTAGAAAACAAGTGGCAGAAAGAAAATGAACAAAGAAACTGCAATCACTGGCACTGTATCTGTGCAGGGGACAGAACAATTAAACTTTGTGCTCCACAGCCTTTGTGTGATGTTCATCTAGAAGGACACAATTGTAAAAAAAGAAATACCAAGGGGATTAAGACATCTGAGGAATCATCAATATCTGGGCAAAGTTTTTCATTGAATGAGCATCAATCAGTATGTCTAGCATTTACTGGGTACAAATCCTGCCTTCCTGGATAAAATGCAACATATTTATTACAATTATCAGGCCATCCATATTGGCATTTGTAAATGTAGCAATCTCATGGGTTTTCAGATATATTTTAAAATGTCCACCCTGAAAAGCTTTAAATGTAGCAGCCAAGTGCTTTATTAAGGTGTTCTTCATAGTTCAACATATGAATTTGTATTAACCACAATCCAATCATTTCCTACAGTAAAAAGAGCATCTGCTTATTTGGATACTATATAGAAGATGCCAAATTCATGTGTCTTTAAGAAAGGCTTAAAACAAAACAAATGAAAACCTCTCAGTGGATCCATATTAAGAAAATGTCAGAAGGATGTCCACAGAAGTACAATAGAAAGTTAATGTAAATGGCTGATGGGACCCAAGCCTGCACCTAACTGCTAACATATCACAGTATATGGGCAAAAGACATCCCTGTTAATTGATCCTTTGAGAAACCAGCCAGTGAGGTAAACAGAGACTGGATCCTCAGGAGCTGAAAATACAAAACTGGACAGATGTTTTTATTGTAAGTGGCTGTGGATTTACAGCCATTTTGCCTTGGAAAGTGCCAAAATGCCTGAACTAGGTTTATTCAAATCATTACCAATATATGTAGAATTGATTAAGTGCCATCAAACCATTCCAGATTCCTACGCAAACTAGCAAATTACATTAAAATGCTTCCTTTATCAGTAATTACCCTTATTATCATGTTATTTAAAAATCTGTATTTTCCCAAAAGGCACAAAAGACAATGACACTATGCTGTGGTTTTATCCAATTTACTGCTGTATTCTGTTTTATTGCACTGGAACTTTAGCTACATTCTCATGAGATTACCATTCTAATGAGATTAATAATAATGAAGTAACTAAATTGGACAAAAGCCAACTTGAAACACTAGACTAGAGCATGGATGTCAAACTCATGGCATCATGTTGCTGTTACATGACGTTTCGTGACTTTTTTCCCCTTATCAGAGTAGGGGTGGGTATGGCCTGTGCATCCAGCCCGCGGCTCGACAGTTTGACACCCCTGCACTAGAGTATATTCAGAGGTGATACAAATGCACATAAGGAAAGCAAAACAGAAAGTAAGACTTACTGCATCTTCTATATCAATGCACAAATGAAACTGTTCTCCAGATTCCTCATGCTGCCCATTCTTCTGCATCTCACTGTAATGGGAACTCAAGTTTTTATACGTAGCATTGCAGTTCTTGCAGACCACTGAGTAGTTACTTGGTAGCAGGTTATCTTCCTGGCCGTACAGTAGAAACCAAGAAATTATTTTTTAAAAGAATAGGTTACAAAATTCAAAATGAGATTGAATCCAAGTGCAAAAGACTGCCACAATTTTTTTTTAAATTGCAAGATAAGTGGAAATTTTTACAGTCAATCTTCCACTTGTACTACAATAGCAACTAGAATTTCCATTGCTAAGTAAGTGATATTAAGTGAGTCATTCTTAAATTTTTGACCTTTTTTGCCATAGTTGTTAAGTGAATCACATGGTCATTAAGCGAATCCGGCTTCCCTCATTGACTGCTTGTCAGAAGCCAATTTGGAAGGTTGCAAATGGCTATCACATAACCCCCAGGACAGTGCAACTGTCATAAATACATGCCATTTGCCAAGCACTCAAATTTTGATCATGTGACCATAAGGATATTGCAACAGTCATAAATGTGAGGACCAATTGTAAGTAATTTTTTTCAATGCCACTGTGACTTTGAATGGTTGCTGAATTAATGGTTGTTAGTCAACGACTACCTCTATTTTCTACTGAAGAAACACTCCGAAAAATACAAATAAAAGATTTAGATGTATGGGTTTCTTAAGCTCCCTGGTTTAGTGATTCTTTATGATACAATATCATTAATAAATATTTTATAGAGCAAATCTAAGCAAAGATTCACTATGGCCAAGATTTGTCCGTCTAAGGATCTCACCTGAAAGTCTAACTAAAACACTCGATAAATATTCATATCATTATATTCTTGTTATTCTTGTGATGTAATAGACATCCTTTTATAGGAAACTCCTGGACTAATGGATCCAGTTTGGTGTAGTAGTTAAGGCCCCAGGCCAGAAACAGGAAACTAATCTAGGCCCAAAGCCAGCTATGTGCTTTGGGGCCAATCACTTTCTCTTAGCCCTCGGAAGGAGGCAATGACAAAACACAAATTGGCAAGAAACGGGACTTGTCAACAGGGACTTGAAAGCAAGCAGGCAAGCAGGGCCATGCATGCACACACTGATACACACACAATTCTGAGCTGACGATTGCCCCTTCCTATAAACTAACAGGTACATGATGTTAATAGTTAGGGAGAGGCAAAACTGAAAGGTATGGATTTATCTTATAACTAAGTATGAGTTATGAGGAAATTGCAGAATGTGATGTGAAAGATAAATGCTGCCAAAATGCAATAACTAGGATGTTGGGTGAAAATAATTAATATGTTCTCAAGCTGTCAGTATATCCATTCTTGTCCAACTTCCGCTATTCTTTTCATTTACCTCCTGCTGACAATGCTCATTATTCAATAGCTCCTGACTATTCTCACATCAATGCAAAACAGTTATGTTAATGACTGTTACATCAACAATCAGTACTTTGTTTTGGTATAGCAGAACCCACCACAACAGCATATTTTAACATTTGATATCAGATCAACAGTGAAACATGAAAAACAGAAGAAAAAGACAAACGTGAACAGAAAAGTACATTATTCATTATCAAGGATAATATAAATACAGACAATATATTTAAATATATACAATCTTAAAAAAAAAAACCATTAAAAGGTAACAAATTCTTGCCTGGCACCATTTTCTAATAAGGGCAAGGTTTTGAATGTCCCAAGTCCCAACCTGATCTCATCTTTGTCAGAGCAGTGGCAGCATAGTCTGGAATTAGGGGAGCTTTCTATTGCTCCTCTCCTAATGGTTAAATATTCTCTGGTAACCATGGAGTTCTCTAGCACTGTCCCCTGGCATAAGGAGGCTGGATTTGTTTGGTCAAACCATCCCAGGTAACTAATGGACCTTGTTGGGTTCCAGAAGAAGCTTTGGGTTGCTCTTGATAGTCGGCTACATGGACCAAACAAGGCCCTCCTTATGTCCAAGAATGAGAGGGTGGTGGGGCTTTTGCTCAGACCAGGCCCATGTGGACTCCCTCCTCCCGTGGATCTCATAATTTCCTTTGGTTTACAAAGGGCTTGAGGGAGATGAGAGAAAATTAAAGTGCCACTGAAGGGCAACAAAAAGTGAACTCAACTCTACATGAATTAGTGCCACTAAAGACCTTGCCTGTGGTGGTAAGGGTGGCAAAATGTCAGTATTCTTCTGCCCTAAAATACCCTGTGTGCATTTGGGGGGGGGGGGTCCTTCCAATTCAACTGAAGCTCCTGTTCAGAGAACAAGTAGAAGCTATGGCCAGAAGGAACTCTGCATAATTTTGTGTTGTGTGCCAGTTATGTTCATACCTTGAACAAGAGACCCTGCTCATAATCCCCTATGCTATGGTCACTTCCCAAATGACTACAGCAATGCATTTTATTTGGAAACTACAGCCAGTGCAGAATCCAGCAGCATGGACAGTTATGTGCATTTCTCAATCAGAGCATGTTACACCCCTGCTCCCTGGCCTGTAACTAGTTACCAGTGTTTGTCCAGATTCAATTCAAGGTGTCGGTAATAAGCTATAAAACCCTTCAAGGCATGAGGCTGAGTTCTTTGAGGGACTGCTTTTTCCCAATTATGTCTATCAGCCCTGTAAAGTCCAGCAGGAGAGGGACTTTACCAGGGAACATTATCTGGCAGGATAAGACTGACTTTTCTTTTCTAGTATCAGCCCCCTGGAGATAGGATTAGTTGCAACCCAACTTGTTTTTCAGCTTTAAAGACATGGTTCTGTCATTGGTATGGGGTGAAGCCCATGAGGTAACTGGGTTAATTGCTGTTGATAGTTTTTTTGCCTCAGCGACTGATTGTACTTCTATGGTTTTTATATAGTTTAAATTTTAAATTTTAAGTTAAATTTTAATTTAAAATTTTGTTAGTCATGAATTTGAGATGGGAGGTCATATTAATTGAAATAATCAGCAAAAAAATCCCAAATTACCAGAGAATTTCTAATTTATCGATAGAGTAAACAGATTATGGAAGTTTGAGTAAGTTCATCCCTGTGTTTAAAATAAATATGCAAAGCAGGCAGTGTTTACAAACAGAAGCCCTATTTCCTTGTCCTCTTAAAAGAAAGTCAACTTGTTGCACCTGAAATATAAAGACTTGAAGTGGGCCTCTATACTCATTCAACTGAAGGCATTTAAAGATCTGTACACCCTCCTGAAGATAAAAGTGCCCAATCACAATGAGTACTTTAAGCAGCTTCAGCAGATTACACTGAGATACCTCCTGCAAATATGTATATATCTGTTTTTCCCCTCCACATAGAAGGGAACATGGTGAAGATAAGTTTCTATATGCAGTTCCACTTTTTCTAATTCTATACCTGTCCTGATAACTTTTTTCTTTATTATAATACAGAATCTTCTCAACTGACTTTTCTCTTAATTTACTCTGACTCTACCCAATGTTCCATTTAATTCATTTGTGTCAGTCATTCTTCAGTAATGAAAAAAAATTATGCAACTTCACTGACTCTAACTGTTCTTCTACTTTGCCTTCTCTAATAGTTCATAGGTACTCCCTTTTCTATGTAATAGAAAAAAAAGAATATTCCCCCAAAAATTCACTTTTGTGGATAAATAAAATGCTCACATTATACTTCAATAAGAAAAGGAAATGTACAAATTAAAAAGAATTGAGTGAATTCAAAAATACAAGACTATTTTTCAATATTTGAACTGAATGTAAAATCGTAAATACTAGGCTTGGCATTTTCTTCTTCATTAAGAAGGGGAAAGTAAGAACAGGATTTTTCCCTCATTTTTTAAATGTCTTATTTACCAAAATAGTTCAGTGATTATACATGCTTTGGTTGCACAGGTGGATAGTATAGTAGGAGTATGATTCCTATTTTAAATGTAACAACCAAGGCTGAGCAGTGATAGATACCTTGCAAATTACAAATAAATTGGATTTCTACAGTGACTATTTTAAACTTCTGGTTATAATTTTGCTAACATTCTTCATTACAATAAGCACTTTGATGATATAAATTAAGATATGGGATATACAGGTCTGAAGTTTTGAATAATAAAAGCACCTTAGTTCTGAGCATAGTTGGATCATATCCTAGAAGTTGGCCATATTTTTCCAACTTTATAGTGATACTAGATTTAGAAAGATTTTAATAGCAGATACTATATGTGAAAAACCAACTTTTTAAGTAGTTATGTATTCTTTACAAACGCATACTATAATAACATACCAGATGACCCATATAGTTATATCAGGAGGTGACAAGCCTAGAATAATGTAAAAAGTGATTTACTATATGAAGAGATTATACGACTCTTCCTATATAATTATCAACTATTGTGAAACCAAAACAGCGCCATAATTGCATATGAAATAGAGGTGAACATTAATTAGAATGCATTTTGTTCTCAGTAGTGAACACCTGCATTTTAAAGATAATTGTTTTATCTGCTTAAACTGTGTAAGAGTTTGTAAATTATATTTGCAGCGCCTTGGTCTGAAAAAAAGGGGAAAATTCACTACACAATTAGAGGGCTCAACTGTACCCTTAATAAACAATATCAAGTACCTGGAGGTTCTGTTTAAAGCATGCCATTGATTCATTGTATAAAGCCAGAAACGTCACTGTACCAGCTGATAAGCCTTCGTTGTTCTTATTTAAACAATCTATGAAAGAAGAGTCAAAAGCATCAATAAATTGCCAGTATCCACTTCCAAAAGGCTGTTTTAGATAAAGGTTTGTTTATTTTACAGATTGCTATTCTGCTTTTAAATTAACAACTGCATAAGTAAGACAGTATAATCCACAATCTGTGTAATGAGTAGGATGACAAATGCTAGGCTAAGGAAGTCACAATCAGTGAATTCACATGCAGTTCTCTTCTTCTTACAGTTATCCCTTCTTTATACAGTTCTCCAATGTTATGCTGCTGAAATTCTATAAACCCAACCCCCCCCCCCCCAAAAAAAAACCCACTCCCAAAAGAGAGGTTCTAAAATAGATCCCATACACTTCAGGAACTGATGGGGGTGGGGGGTGGAAATGCCCTTGCCCAAGAAGTGCACTCTTTCTTCACTAAAACGATACTAGGAAGAAAGAGGAGGGGAAAGAGGCTACGTTGGTATTCTGGTGACAAGCCAAGACCTTAGAACCTTTCCTCAAAAAGTGGGCAAAAAAAAATCTCTTCCAAAAAAAGGTGTTGTAAACTCTTGGACACTTTGCAAGGCAAGGGTTTTTTTTTTTTTTTTGTCAAATGCTGCCAAGTTAAGCAATAAGATGATCAATCTGGCAGCAGGATAAATGAAATAGGGAGAAATGGTAGAAATTCTGAGTTTTGAAGGGAAGCTTAGCAGGAATAAGGGTTGTTGGTCTGGGGATTATCTCAGAGACCTAGACATAACAGGAAGCAAAAGAATATTCATATCCAAGTATCATCAGCCTCAATTGGCATGACTAACAGCAAGACTGTGGGAGTCACACTCAGATATCTGCGTAGCAGCAGGTTGTCCACTACTGGCTTAATATAACTATCATTTAAGGTACCTTCAAAAAGTGTTTCATTTTTTTTAAAGTTATTCTTTCCCAAAAAGAAGCCTTATTTCCCTGTCCCCTTAGAGAGAATGTCAAATTGTTGCATCTGAATTGTAAAGATCTGAAGGGGCCTCTATATTAATTCAACTGAATTGGTCTAGGACTTGGCAGCAACAACAGCAGCAAATGACTTAATGATCGGCCATCAATACCCCAAATCAACACTAAGAGGCCTCACAGAACTAGGCACCATATAAATACTGCATGCCCAAAGCACATGTTCTGGAGGAGAGATGTTTCTTGAGGATAGGCTCCAGCACAAGTCCAAAAGTTAGGAAGACTATATCTCTGGTTTGGGTGATTGACCCAGATTGCATCCAGCAACATTATCCTGGGACACATATTTGCCTTCATTCATGAGTTATTTTTTCACATAAAATAACTTTCACATATATTTTTGATAAATTGTTCCTGAGTAAGACTGACTTTGAGTGCCATGAAGTGATAAGGAGAATATCAATCTAAATGGGGTTTCCTGCCTGGGCGGGGTGGGGGGGTGGGTGCTGGACTAGAAAATGTCCAAGGTCCCTTCCTCCTCTCCTCTCTGCAACTGTTCTTTGTATGTACAAGTGAAACTCAAAAAATTAGAATATTGTGCAAAAGTTCATTTATTTCAGTAATGCAACTTAAAAGGTGAACCTAACATATGAGAAAGACATGCAAAGCAAGATAGTTCAAGCCATGATGTGTCATAATTGAGATGATTATGGCTTACAGCTCATGAAAATCCACAATCTCAGAAAATTAGAATATTGTGGAAAGGTTCAATATTCTAGGCTCAAAGTGTCCCATTCTAATCAGTTAATTAAGCCATAACACGTGCAAAGGGTTCCCGAGCCTTTAAATGGTCTCTCAGTCTGGTTCAGTAGGAATCACAATCATGGGAAAGACTGCTGACCTGACAGTTGTGCAGAAAACCATCATTGACACACTCCATAAGGAGGGAAAGCCTCAAAAGGTAATTGCAAAAGAAGTTGGATGTTCCCAAAGTGCTGTATCAAAGCACATAAATAGAAAGTTATGTGGAAGGGAAAGTGTGGAAGAAAAAGGTGCACAAGCAGCAGGGATGACCGTAGCCTGGAGAGGATTGTCAGGAAAAGGACATTCAAAAGTGTTGGAGACTTTCACAAGGAGTGGACTGAGGCTGGAGTCAGTGCATCAAGAGCCACCACACACAGACAGATCCTGGACATGGGCTTCAAATGTCATATTCCCCTTGTCAAGCCACTCCTGAACAACAAACAACATCAGAAGCGTCTTACCTGGGGCTAAAGAAAAGGCTAAAGAAAAACAGAACTGGTCTGCTGCTCAGTGGTCCAAAATCCTCTTTTCTGATGAGAGCAACTTTTGCATCTCATTTGGAAACCAAGGACCCAGAGTCTGGAGGAAGAATGGAGAGGTACACACTACAAGATGCTTGAAGTCCAGTGTGAAGTTTCCACAGTCTCTGTTGATTTGGGGAGCCATGTCATCTGCTGGTGTTGGTCCACTGTGCTTCATTAAGTCCAGGGTCAATGCAGCTGCCTACCAGGAGATTTTGGAGCACTGAGATCTTTTCATGAGCTGTAAGCCATAATCATCACATTTATGACAAATCACAGCTTAAACTATCTTGCTTTGCATGTAATGAGTCTATCTCATATATTAGGCTTTTAAGTTGCACTACTGAAATAAATGAACTTTTGCACGATATTCTAATTTTTTGAGTTTCACTTATATGTTTTAGTCTCCACCCCTCTAATCATTTTTGTTGCTCTTCTCTGCACTCTTTTTAGAGTCTCAATATCTTTTTTATATCACAGTGACCAAAACTGGATGCAATCTTTCAAGTAGGATCTTACTAAAGTAGAATATAGTAGTACTAATATTTCACATGATCATGATACTATCCCTCTGTTGATGCAGCCTCAGAGTGCACTGGCTTTTTGTAAAAGTGTAAAACCATTTTTTTTCCTGCCACTGATTTGCCTTTTCTTGGATAGGGCCGTGTTCAAGTCTGTCTAGATCAAGGTGTCAAACTGGATTTCTTAAGAGGGCCAAATCAGCATTGTAGTTCTCCTCTGCAGGCCAGTGGTGGCGGTGGGGGGAAACGGTGTGTATGACTGCGGCAGCAGGGGGACAACAGGAGTTGGATGGGACAGATGTTTCCTGCAGCACCCTACTAGCTAAAACGGGGCATGAGTGCCTTGTTTTTGCCCTCCATAGCCTCCTGCAGCACTCTGCCAGCTAAAAACAGGCCATGTGGTCCATTTTCAGCCCATTTTTGGCCTGTTTTTGGCCCATTTTGAGCCTGTTTTGGGCCCATTTTTCAGCCAGTTCTGGGCCCATTTTTTGGTCCAGTTTCAGTAGGCAGAGTGCTGCAGGAGGCCATGGAGGGTGAAAATGAGGCTTATTTCACAAGACCCACCACAAGACTCACTGATGACTCACAGCTGACCCTTCACAAGACCCTCACTTGACACATCCACACCTGAAGCCCTTATAAACAGAAGAATACTGACATTGATATCCCCTAAACTCTGCTGAAGATGTTACCTAACCTGGTAACGAAATGTTTGGAAACCAGCCCGTAAGCTCAGAGAATGAACCTTCACTCTTAAATATATCAACAAGCCTTGTGACTGGATGCTATTCTCTCTCTTCTTTTTCATCAGTGTCACTATGGAGGTTGTATGTCTACTTTTTATTACAAAAATAAAGAAGTTTAGTATCATTTCCAATTCTTGAACAGAACTTTAATCTTAACTATGACTTCTAGAAAAAAGGCAACTGCAAAACTACAAGTTAGAATCATTGATAATTTAATATTAAACATGGCTTCTGAACATTCCTTTCAGCTGTACCAAGCCATGTGTCGTTCTTGTACCAATATACCACCAAACTATAATTTAGCATTACAAGTCTGTGTTAAGTATAAGTAAAAAAGGCAGTATATTTGCTTGGCAAAATTAGCCATTATTTATCTAAAACACACGCACAATTTAAGGTGATTTTCAAATCAGCTTCCATGTCAAGTATGTTTGTTAGAAACATTTTACTTCACATCATTTTAGCAGATGAAGAGCACAAACTAGAAGAATGCAGGGATAAAAATGAAGAGGATGCAAGAACAATTAGCAGAATCCTTAAAAGATAAGAGAGATGTAAACAACATCATAATATGATAAAAGACGGGAGCAGGAGAGAGAGACTCAACTCCATTTTGATTCTTTATGGTATAAGAGATATAAGAGAGACAGAGGAAAATTCTGGGAGGCTTTCAGGATTCTACTATTATAAGCTACAACAAGAAAATAAAGGGCTAACACAAACAAATGCTAGAAGGATATTCACATCCAATATCCAAAGGAACACTCATACACAAATATGCTGTTGCAGTGCTTGTCCTTGGGAATAGTGTCTCCCATAGCATTTTGTATGGCCCCTACCTGAGCTTGTTTAAATAGGCTCTCACAAACTGGCTCTTCCCTAGGCTCCAGACTAAAATATGTGGTGGGCCTCTTATGCGTATGTTTTGAATTCAACTTGTGGATTTTATTGTTTCTATAGGAACCAATTTTCCCTAGGTGTTATATTGTTTGGAATTATTTTTCAAATCATTATGGCCTAACAGCCTTAGAAATTTAAATAAGGATCGCATGCATCAATTCCATGTCAGTTGTGTGGTTACACAACACTCTTGTGACAAATTGAAACAACAGGTAGTCTGCCATTGTCTACAGATCTTAATGTCTGCTAACTTTTGTGCACAGCAAATTACATGTTTGTATCAGTAAAAATGTATTTTCTTGGATATCACTATTTCTCTATAGCACTGAATTGCCAGAACAAGTCCACATACACTGACACAATCATGCATTAAGAACCAAGAAATAGTTATGTTTCATGCAATTAATTCAACTTGCAGTTTATGAACAAGTTGCTTACATATGCAGTCTATCTATTGCTGATTATAATATATTGAAATGGTCCAACATTTATTAATTTTATATTCTGCCTTTATTATTTTTATAAACAACTCAAGGAGAACATACCAATATTCCTTCCTCTTGTTTTCCCTACAACAACCCAGTGAGGCAATTTGAGCTGAGACAGGGAGCCCTAAAGTAATTTTTCATGCCTTAGGCAGAACTAGAACTCATGGTCTCATGATTTCCTATCTGGTACCTTAACCACATGCATTAATTATCCTATTCATTTATTTCTTAAATCTGTGGGTCCACCTACAAATTCTAGGCAGTGAACATAATGTATAAAACATCAGTAAAGCCCATACACATACATTTTTATCAAAACATTTATGTAAAACACTGTATTTTCCCTTCTTTCTCACTTTTCCCTACACACATGTTCTATGCTGCTCAAAAAAATAAAGGGAACACTTAAACAACACAATGTAACTTCAAGTCAATCACACTTCTGTGAAATCAAACTGTCCACTTAGGTAGAAACACTGATTGACAATCAATTTCACATGCTGTTGTGCAAATGGAATAGACAACAGGTGGAAAGCATAGGCAGTTAGCAAGACATCCCCAATAAAGGAGTGGTTCTGCAGGTGGTGACCACAGACCACTTCTCAGTTCCTATGCTTTCTGGCTGATGGTTTGGTCACGTTTGAATGCTGGCGGTGCTTTCACTCTAGTGGTAGCATGAAACGGAGTCTACAACCCACACAAGTGGTTCAGGTAGTGCAGCTTATCCAGGATGGCACATCAATGCGAGCTGTGGCAAGAAGGTTTGCTGTGTCTGTCAGCATAGTGTCCAGAGCATGGAGGCGCTACCAGGAGACAGGTCAGTACATCAGGAGACATGGAGGCCATAGGAGGGCAACAACCCAGCATCAGGACCGCTACCTCCACCTTTGTGCAAGAAGGGACAGGAGGAGCACTGCCAGAATCCTGCAAAATGACCTCCAGCGGGCCACAAATGTGCATGTGGCTGGTCAAACGGTCAGAAACAGACTCCATGGGGGTGGTAGGAGGGCCCGACATCCACAGGTGGGGGTTGTGCTTACAGCCCAACACCGTGCAGGATGTTTGGCATTTTCCAGAGAACACCAAGATTGGCAAATTCGCCACTGGCGCCCTGTGCTCTTCACAGATGAAAGCAGGTTCACACTGAGCACATGTGACAGATGTGACCAGGTCTGGAGACGCCGTGGAGAATGTTCTGCTGCCTACAACATCCTACAGCATGACCAGTTTGGCAGTGGGTCAGTAATGGTGTGGGGTGGCATTTCTTTAGGGGACCGCACATCCCTCCATGTGCTCGCCAGAGGTAGCCTGACTGCCATTAGGTACTGAGATGAGATCCTCAGACCCCTTGTGAAAGCATATGGTGGTGCAGTTGGCCCTGGGTTCCTCCTAATGCAAGACAATGCTAGACCTCATGTGGCTGGAGTGTGGCAGCAGTTCCTGCAAGACGAAGGCATTGATGCTATGGATTGGCTCACCTGTTCCCCAGATCTGAATCCAATTGAGCACATCTGGTGTCGACATCATGTCTCGCTCCATCCACCAATGCCACGTTGCACCACAGACTGTCCAGGAGTTGGAGGATGCTTTAGTCCAGGTGTGGGAGGAGATCCCTCAGGAGACCATCCGCCACCTCATCAGGAGCATGCCCAGGCATTGTAAGGAGGTCATACAGGCACGTGGAGGCCACACACACTACTGAGCCTCATTCTGACTTGTTTTAAGGACATTACATCAAAGTTGGATCAGCCTGTAGTGTTTTTTTCCACTTTAATTTTGAGTGTAACTCCAAATCCAGACCTCCATGGGTTGCTAAATTTGATTTCCATTGATGATTTTTGTGTGATTTTGTTGTCAGCACATTCAACTATGTAATGAACAAAGTATTTACCGTATATACTTGAGTATAAGTCGACCCGAATATAAGCCGAGGCACCTAATTTTACCACAAAAAACTGGGAAAACTTATTGACTCGAGTATAAGCCGAGTTTTTCAGCATATTTTTTGTGCTGAAAAAAACCTCCTCGGCTTATACTCGAGTGAGATTCCCTCTGAAAAAAAAAATGGTGTGGAGCTCCGGAGCTGGGCAGCCGCTTCCCTGCTTCCGTGTTTCCTTTGCAACTTGTAAGCATGGGGGTAATCAGAAGCAGAAAAGTTCTTGCATGAGGATATATTGTTTTTTCTTTATTTAACTGTTTTTAGGGGGGGCGGGAAGACCCACCGTCATGTGAGAATGCTCAGACACGAAATCTATCCACCTGAAAAAAAAACGTGTGTGTGTGGGGGATTTTAACAGAGGGAAGACATAGGGAGAAGGCAAAAGCGACGGAAGATCCTTCAGGGGAAACTGAGGGGGAGACTCACCCTTGGTCCAGATGAGCCCCCTTCCCCGCCCCTAAGGAAGCAGAGGCAGCCAGCAAGGGCAGGCAAGCCCCGCTTCGCAGACTCCGTCCATCCTCGCTCCCACCCACCCACCCAAAGCCACAAAGTCCCCCAATCGCGCAGCCCAGAATCTCCCTCCCCTCAGGGGGCAGCAACAACGCCCGGTGTTTCCTGAAACAAGAAGCTCCGCCATGCAATGAAAGCGCCCTGGCTCTAGGCTCAGAAAACAACGGGAGCCGAGGTGGCTTCGTTTCCTCAGCCCCAGCTGCTTTCAGTCCACTCGGGAGGAGGAGGAGGAGGAGGAGGAGGAGGTGGCGGCAGCGGCGGCTCGTGTTCCTATGTCTTCCCTCTGTTAAAATCCCACACACACACACACTTATTTTCAGGCAGATAGATTTCGTGTCTGAGCATTCTCACATGACAGTGGGTCTTTCCCCCAAAAAAAAACAGTTAAATAAAGAAAAAACAATATATCCTCATGCAAGAACTTTTCTGCTTCCGATTACCCCCATGCTTACAAGCTGCAAAGGAAACACGGAAGCAGGGAAGCGGCTGCCCAGCTCCGGAGCTCCACACCATTTTTTTTTTTTTTCCAGAGGGAATCTCACTTGAGTATAAGTCGAGGTTTTTTTCAGCACAAAAAATGTGCTGAAAAACTCGGCTTATACTCGAGTATATACGGTAATAAGAATATTTCATTCATTCAGATCTAGGATGGCTTATTTTTGTGTTCCCTTTATTTTTTTGAGCAGTGTATATATCTACCTATGTATATATATATATACTGGGTGGATGGATGGATGGACAGACAGACACACACACACATAGGATGTGCACTTATGGGTTTTAAACATTGGTGAACAGCACATTAATTTAGATTTTTCCTAAATTATTATCTCTTATAATTTCCTTTCCTATTTTAATGAACAGAATCAAAGTAACAATTGAGAAATACAATTATAACCACAATGTTGAATACATAACCAAAATATCAATCAGTTCATTTAACTAATAAAAGCGATACAGGTATGATTAATCCAGCACATGCTATACACCTCATTAAAAAGGACATGTCATTCCATCATGTATGCATGGTGGATAGCCATGTTTACCTGCACCTCTTCATCCAGTCCATTCCTTACATCTCATTCCAGAAATAAGATGTTTAGTATACTGTAGTTTTGCTGCAATGTTTGGTTGGCTTTAGCTTAGTAAAGTTAGCTGCTGTGAATTATACACTATTCTGTGTGTGTTCTAAGGGCTCAAATCCATGAATCATAACAATTCAGGGCATAAGTATATGAGTCCAATCAGGGTTTGTAGAAACCGAGAACAATGAACAAGCTTTGGGAACCATCATCTCTTATATTGAAACTAATACCAGAGATGAAGCATGCATATTGAGGTGTTAGTATTACCCCTATATATAGCTTTAAAAAAGTAGAAAATATATGCTTTCTTTTATTCATATTGAATATTCAAATACTATATATACAAGAAAGCAACAAAAAGAGTACATACTTGCACAGTTAGCTTTTATCCATGTGTCATTAAAAAAATTGTTCACAAGTGCAACCATCTGTAGCCTGTCTGACATCAAGAGACTTTGGGCACATCTGTTAGTCTTAGTAGTATTCTGAAAGGAGAAAGTACACATATAGAAATCATTTGTTAGCAGGTCCAGCAATCAAGAATATAGTATCTACTGTATTGTAGGGCTGCATTTTAAATGTGAGTAAATATAGTATTGCAATGTAGTTCACTTGTACAGATAAACATGTTGTCTTCCAAATAAAATTGGCACATACATGTACTATCCAAATAAATGGCATAAAAGCTGCTCCCAGAATCTTTTCCTAATTAAATTGCTCAGGAACTGAAACAGCTCTCAAAGGAATTCTTGTGCTAGTCCACCAGTTGCTGAGAATGTCTTTTAAGTCTCTCAGATACATATATAAATGACAACCTGAGAGGTCATTTATTTTAGTGGTGAATCCCTAACTTTTAGTGTCTCTTTTGAGGATGGTCACCAGATATCTATATGCTTGTAACTTAATGTCTATGGAGATTCTCAGTCATTCAGATCATGGTTGTCCCAAATGTGTTTTTTTCAAGAAGCAACTGGAACAAGATTGTCCATTTGCCTTTTGAAAAAACACCTTTGGGACATTCTTGTAACTTGGATATCATATCCATACATTTTGTAAATATTTTAATGATTTTTTTTCTATAAACAAATATTCTGGAAACATTCTGCTTATGTAAATATTCTGAGGTAAAATTCATCAATGCCCAAGTGGAAGTCCATTCATACAAATAAAGTCTCTTTCATAAATCCACATGTAATTCTCAAATCTGTTTTAGAAAGTTTCCTCATCCCAGAGCAGGTCTGTGAGTGGAAGAGAAGTTTAGCCATCCTTAATTAATAAAGGCATTTGCGTCAATTTGATTAATTCTATTTACAGGCTGCAATGCAAGAGAACACTCCATTCCAATCATTTCTTGCACATTTTCTATTTGAGAATTTAACATGTGAAAAATCATGTGACAGAATGCAACACTTCTATCCTTTTCCAGCAACAATGTATTAAGTTCTTCCTGGTGAAAAGCAGTAACTGCTTGTGGTTTTTTTCAGATTCAGTCAAGTCTTTGGGTCAGTTAATTTTTCTTATTTCTAATTTTTCAAAATTTGTGGACACCAGACTGATTACCATATATAATGATCCATGAAGAATTCAATAATTTATTTTTTTGTGCCTGTCTGGTATTTGTAAGCCAAGGAAAAATATGTGGATAGCTCATTGCAAGCCTATGCCTATTTTATATGAATATGGAAGATGGCAAATTCAAAGTTTACCTAAATAGTTATCCTTTCAGTCACATTCCCAGTGACTTATAGGCTTATATGGGCACAGGGCATTTTGGCATGAGGTATTTTTCATTTTCCATCTATGTAGCCTAGTCTCCTCTAATGGTCTCCTCTCCAATTACTAAGCAGGCCCCATACTGCTCATCTTTGTAGATCAGCCAGATGCTGCCACTTGCTGAGGAGAGGGGGAAATTGTCTACCCAAGCCTCAATCTTCACAACCTGACTACTGCCCAGATATTTTATCAAAAGCTAACGGCAACTAGTTCTCCTTGCTGCAAGATAGACTTATGAACAATCCCAATGACCAGGAAAACAAAATCTAATTTGCTTCCCAGAAAGAACCTCTCTACTCTAAGGTAGGATATATGTTTACTGTAGCTCCCACTTTTTTCAGGAATTCCCCCTCCTACCACAGAGAGCAGGCTCCAGGTTTTATTCCATAATAATAAAGGAGGAGCCTCCCTCCCTAATAAAAACGTTTCCATTATTAGTTTTGAAAACAAAACAAAACAAAAAACCATGGGCAGTGTTTTTAGACAAAGCACACTGTGTTATCCCAAGCATTGAAATTTCAAGAGAATTTAACGGTAGCCTCCAAAACAAATCAAATTATAATTTCCATGATTCTCGGTCGCAGCTACACAACTAGCCTTGTGGCCCCCTCAGAGTAACCATCATAGACAAGTTAGAGTCCCCACTTCGTTCGATGCAACTGCAATCCACAGATACACAAATGTTACAACGTCCCACAAGAATCTTTATTGCTTCAACAGAAGTACTTGCGGGACCCTAGTGGGACAGCTTCGATGGAGCAATTGTTCCGGCCGGGGGGAAAGTGAAAGAGCCTAAGGCTTGAGACCAGCCTTTAAGGAACCCGATCCCACGCACCTCGATGTTCTCGAACTGCTGCACGACTTCCCCGAATTGGTGATAGCAGTTCTGGCAGAGCGTCACAGGCCGGGAGCTCTGGATTAAGCAGCCAGCCAATCTCAGGCTGCTATTGGCGAAGGCAGTCAAGAGCTCCTTGCACTCTGGATCCAGCTGCGGCTCCTGCGGGACCCCTAAGAACCCCGATGCGAGCGAAGACAGGTCCTCCAGGGCCAAGGGCCAAGAGCGGTGTCGGCCTCCCACAACTATTTCTTCCAAGCCACTTTGCAGTGACAAATGTCGGCCGGGCAGAAGGTTCTCCCCGGCGCATAGGCTCGGCAAGACGCCGGGCAGCAGCAACAGCAGAAGAGTGGCCGAGCCCATAGCTGCTACCGCTGGCGAGGAAGACGGCGAAGACGCTTCCTAGTTCCGCGGCTGCCACTGAGGAACACGATCACGTGCGGCCGAAGAACTACAGCGTTAGCAGCCGGGAGCTGGGCCCAACGCGGCGTTTCATTGGCTCCCGAGGATTTGACGTTCTAAGAGCGGGGATGTCACCCGTCCGTTTATTGGGGGCGGAGTTTACCTATCAACAGTTTTTTTTTCGTACTGGCTCGCGCTTACTGTTTTCAAACTGACATTTATGCAACGAATCAGTTGCACCGCACGGATTATCTTTTTTTTTACTTTAGTATATCATTAATAGCAATAGCACTTAGACTTATATACCGCTTTATAGTGCTCAATTATCCAGTATATGAATATAAACTTAAAGGTGCCTTTTATTGACTACTTTTTAGTTAATGTCCTGAGTGTTTTGGAATATATAGTTATAAATCCCCCTTGTTGGACGCTTACATCAAGCATGATAAAAATGCATTTTAGATCTGCTGGTTTGGTATCGTATAACTTCCTATATGGCTTGTTTAATCAAGATTTACTGTGATTTTCTGAGCCATATAAATCAATGGCTGGATGTGAACAACACATATTAAAATCAAACTAGCAATATTGTACAGTAGTAAACAACTCAGTCATGCCAGATATATTTTACGCTAAGCCATTGTTTATTCAACCACTGCTGAGTTCAAAAAGCATACTAATCCAAAACCAAATAAACCATGCTATATCTTAGTGCAACATAGGAATACAACACACAATGCTAATAATGTCTATATGTGCATAACATGCTTACATTATTAATTCAGACAATTGATTCCAATTTTTTTCAAATTTCCATATACACTGATATACACCATTTGTCACAACAAAGTGATAATTTGTCACAACCCTTAGACTAAAATTTGGTTGACTAGTTTGTGATTCAGACTATCCTAAGAATCCAAAAAGTGAGATCTTAAGGGGAAGTGGGTTCTGAATTATTTTAAGAAAAATTAGGAAAGCTGTGAGAATTTACAAACATTTTAAGTGGTGAAGCCAAATGTCAGGAGCTGAATTCAAGTTTAATACTAAACTAGGAGTATTTGTGTGAGAGAAAAAGAGATTTGTAATCAACTCATCTGCTTTATATATTTCATCTAAGTCAAAATTATATAAATAACATCATTGCTTAATAAAGCAAAGTGAACCTACCTAATGTATACCAATAAGACAATTGTGTAAGGGAAAAACAAGAGAACAGGAAAAACAATTAAAACAAAATTAAAAGTGCATCTAACATAGTTAATTGGTTTTTTTTTTTACCGTACCTACTTGAAATTTAGAGATTAAATAGGGCTTTTTTGTAGAAAAGTTGGGCTAAAAGAAAGCTTCAGACACCTTGCAAATGTTCCATTTATTTATGGGAATCCTTGTTCAATAAACGTCTCTCAACAGAGATATTTTGCCAAATATAAAAGCAGTTGCATCTCTGATGCAAATTTGCCAAATAACCAATACAAAATCCCTCTAATTTTTTTAACAATTCTGTTCTTGCAATGCAAAGTAATTAATTGATATATTTTTTTAAAAAAAGAGAGATAACACGAGATGTTAAAGCACAAATATTTTAGGGCTATACTTCATCTGCTTAGAAGGCTTTTGATTATTACCTATTCTCATACAAGCTATCAGTACTGTAAGATTTTTTTATACTTTTTCAAATTTATCCTATTTCAAAAATAAAGCTGATATCAACTAGTTAATGATTTGTTATTTTCTCATTCTGTTTGAGGACCGATTGTTGACCAAAGTTTATCTCTTCAGTCAATCCTCTGTGCATCATGCATAAACAATGTGTATCTGTGAGGAGGTTTTACTGCAATTTTTTTATAACGGAGAATGCACAGCTATCCATCTCCACTGTGTGCATTCTAATACAAAATATCTACTTTCAATTCCTTTCCATTGTTACAGAACAGAAATCTACAGGTCAAACTTGAGCACCTTTGGACAGCTGTACTTAGGGATCAGGACCAAGATAGACAAGTTCAGTAACTAATGTAAGTTCAACATAAAGTAACGGATTTCATTGGATTTCTGTTAGCAGTCTTCATTCACATATATATTCCTTTTTTACATACATAACACAATAGACTGTTCAGCCGTGGTTTGGGACTTGAACAACATGTCATGCAATGAGGTGGATGATCTGGATCAGAAGTCTTCTAGTGAGCTTTCTGATTCCATCCTCATTTTATAATATTTTTGTTATGGTTTCCTCTAGAAAAGAATGAAGTGTTCACAAATTTTGCCTCTGGGTGTATATTTCCTCTTTCAATGGACAGTTATTCTAATTACAAACATGTACTCACCTAGAAGACTCTACTATTCATCCATCTTTCTGCTATTGCTATCTTGTCTTCCAAAGCAGTGGTCGCCAACCAGTGGGTCGCAAGAAAATGTTGGTGGGCCGCAGAGAAATGTCATTCCCAGAGCACGTCCCAAACTAATTAATCCAGGCTGCGCAGGAACACAAGACTGTGCCACCCACATGGCCCATGGGAACCCTCCCTGCCCACTCACTCCTTACTCAGCAAAGTTGCCTGCTAAATTGCCATTTTTCCTTTTTTTTCTGACCATCAGCTGTTCTGCTGTGCGAGGAAATTTAGATTAGTTAGGAAGCAGGAAATGGTTGGATTTCTTGCTTTCTACTAGTCTTTAGATCTTTGGCTCTGCTTTTAAGCACAGCCAAGCCTCCCTTAGGACTGAAGTTTCTATTAGTAAGTGCAGACTCAAGGCAAGCAAATTTTATGTGACAGACTGAGCTAGCCGATGGCAGATAGATAGATTACTGAATGATTCTGTGAGCAACTCAATCTGCCTGCCTGCTTTGCCTGATTTTGGGTAAAAGTTGCTCTTTTTTATAAAAAAAATTCAATATTTACATACATGGTGTGTTGTGAGTTAATTTTGTGAGTTTGCTTGCTAGCAAATTTTATGAATTTGCTTGCAAGCAAATTTTATGTGACAGACTGAGCTAGCCGATGGCAGATAGATAGATCTCTGAAGGAAGATTGATGATTCTCTGAGCAACTCAATGTGCCTTCCTGCTTTGCCTGATTTTGGGTAAAAGTTGCTCTTTTTTATAAACAATTCAATATTGATATAATATTTATAATATTTACATACAAGCCATGCCCAGCCAGTCACATGACCGGCAAGCTACACCCACAAGTTAGCCACACCCACAGAAACAGTTAGTGGTCCCTAGGATTTAAAATTATAAGTTTGGTGGTCCCTGAGATCCAAAAGGTTGGTGACCCTGTTCCAAAGGATCACATAGAGATCACTCCGGCTTTCTTTTGGTTCTCGAGCAGTTGACAAAATCATTTGTACTTGCATCTTAAAGAACTTCATATGTCTACTTGGCTCAAAACTGAAGAATTTTTCAAAAATCTTCTTTTCGCAGATTGATTCTCCTCTTCATCATTTTGCTTTCCATTAAAAAGAGAGAGAAGTGAGAAAAGGAAAGGCATGGGAGAATACTGGAAACTATGAACAGTGGGTTTCAACTAGTAATTTTCAAATGGGTCCCAGCATGCTTTGCGCTTTTACCATTTTGTATACACATATTCAGTATGGCAGCAAGCTACTATTTGCTGTGGTCATTCACTCTGTTATATTTGGTATGAAATGATAGGGTCTGATACAAAGGTGTCTGGGACAGGCCAAGAAGCAATCTGGCTCTCCAATGTAGCTTCAAGGTCCAATTAGAACTGTAAACCGGGGCCATAGCACCATGTTAACTCTCCACATGAATAAGGCCATCAATTGTTTGTGTCCTATTGTCTCCTTTGCCTCACAGTTTATCTCAATGCCTTCTAGCTGGGAAATAAGCTTCTTTTCTGGCAAGATGCTGTAATGATGTAAGAAACAAAGCTGCAATTTAGATTCTGTGAAATAACCAGTGTTTTCTTTAGTAGATGGTTTCTTTTTTTTCCTCCCATTCTTTTATTCTTGTTCCTTTTCCTTTCAATTGGCATGTAACTGTTTCTTTTTGTTCTTATGCACCTGATGGCTACAATTTGTGGAAGATGTACTAGGATAGTAAAAACATCTGGAGAGGTGTTAAGAAAAACCTGTAACGGCAACCATTTTTATAGCATTTCCTCAGAACCAAAAGCAGGAATTCACCAACACTGTCTCTGGGCTGCTAAAGCCCATTACAGTTTTGCCTTAAGTTTTACCAACTTATAACTGCATCTTTATCCGTAACTAATGTGTTTTCAGCTCCTCCTCTTAATTTCCTCATGACAACTTTATGATGACCATGATCCACAGTATATATCTTGATGGCCCTGTTGCTCCAATCTACAACACAGTCCTTTCAACAATTCCAAGAAGACTCCACACCCATTTACACTATTCAGGTACCCTGATGACACAGATAAACCTTCAGGTGGCCTCAACGACTTCAAAAGAATACAAATGATCAGCTGTCAGCAAGGAGTACAAATTCTTCCATTCCCCACCATTCAGCCAGAACTGAAGAAGCTTCTTGGATGAGAAGTAAAATGTCTTCAAGAAAAAAACAGAAAGTCCAGTTGCCTCTTGAAAAAGCACCATTGGGACAATCATGACCTGGATGACTAAGAATGTCCATAGACATTGTTCTTGATTTTTGAAGCAGTAGGATGTAATCCAGACTCCTTTGGCAAAATCTTTCTTCACAACTACAAAGTAGTTCCTCTATTTATGGTCCCACCACCATTCTAATTTTGCACAGGAAGTTTCAGTACCAGCTGTACAGATAAAGATAATCATATGGGAGCTGTGATACCTTTCATTTTCAACGTTCCTTTGGCTATCTATCCTTACTATCAGCTTCCAAAATAATGGGAGCTGCTTTCTTAGCACCACAGACTAGTGTATCTTCTGGCAAACTTGTCTCTTTGTCTCATGGATTTGTTTCTCTGTCTCATGAACTCTTGTTAGATAAGGTAGCTGTTACTTTTTGTGGTAAAACCTGAGCTCATTCCTAACTAGTGTTGTGCCTGATGCATCAATAAGTTTTCCAACTGTTGCTATT